ATAGATAGATAGATAGATAGATAGATAGATAGATAGATAGATAGATAATAGATAGATAGATAGATAGATAGATAGATAGATAGAGATAGAGATAGAGATAGAGATAGAGATAGATAGATAGATAGATAGATAGATAGATAGATAGAGAGATAGAGATAGAGATAGATAGATGATAGATAGATAGATAGATAGAGAGATAGAGATAGAGATAGAGATAGAGACAGATAGATAGATAGATAGATAGATAGATAGATAGATAGAGATAGTTATAGATAGATAGTTGTAGATAGATAGATAGATAGATAGATAGATAGATAGATAGATAGATAGTCCTTGACTTACAAGTATTCTTTTAGTAACCATTCTAAGTTGCAACAGCACTGAAAAAAGTGACTTATGACCACTTTCCAAACTTATGATGGTTATGACCTTCCCGTGGTCACGTAATCAAAATTTGGGCGCTTGGCAACTGGTTCGTAGTTATGACGGTTGCAATGTCCCACGGTCAGTGTTCTGACAAGCAAAGCCAATGGGAAAGTCAGATTCACTTAACAATCACATTACTAATTTAATTGCAATGATTCGCTTAACAACTGTGGCGAGACAGGTCGTAAAATGGGGCAAAACTCACTTAACAACCGTTTGACTTAGCAATGGAAATTTGGGGCTCAGTTGTGGTCCTATGTCGTGGAGTGGAGGACTAGCTATATATCAATCCCAGCATTCCCGCTGGGACGCCTTCCAGGCTTTGAGGACTACAACTCCCATCACTTGGAAAGACCGGATACCCCAGTCGGGCCCTTGATTCCAGATTTGCCTCTTTCTCAGACTGATTTAGCACAGCGCCTCGGACTACAAACTCCGCCATCCTAGCCTAGGCTTATTTTCCTGACTAGCAACCATGGGGTTTGTAGTCCCAACGCTTGGGCCGGCGAGAAGCGCTTTTCAGCCCATTGGGGAGAGAAAAGATGGCTTCACCATGGAAACGGGGGCGGGGGGGGAAAAAGAGAGTGTTGCCCCGGCAACGAGAATGCCTCGCGAGAGCTTGCCGTCTCCCCCCACCTCTCTCTCTCTCTCTCTCTCTTCCCCGCCTCCTCCTCCTCCTCAAGCTGTGCGCGTGCGCGCGCGCGGGCCGCCCAACCAATGAGACGCCCAGGACTCGGCCACGTGACCCAGCGCGCGGGGTCTGCGAACCGGGGCGCTTCGAGGAAGAGGTGCGTGAGGTGAGACCGTTGGAGGCCGCGCGGGTTGAGGCTCTTTTTGGGCAGCCTGGGCGCTTTTCCCCGCACCTGAGTTCGAGCGGCGGTCGGAGGCCGATATCTCCGCGCCCCGTCCTGCCGGAAAGGGGATATCTTTTTTCCCCCCTAGTGTGGAGGAGGGGAGAAGAGGGATTGTCGCCTGGAGTCCTCGCGGCTCTCTGAGCTTGGTGGTTTTCTTGCAGACGTTTTATTACCCAACTAAGTAGCATCATCAGGGTTGGAAGGGAGTGGGTTGGATGAGAGAAGCGGGGAGGGAAGGAGGAGGAAGACTGTGGGGTCCTTGGTGCTCGCTCAGCTTGGTGGGTTTTTTGCAGACGTTTTACTCCCCAACTAGGTAGCATCATCAGGGCTAGAAAGGGAGTGGTTGATTAAATTTAGGGATTCTAGTCAATGTAGGAGTGTCGTTAATGTGTTGGATTAAGACGAGAGAGAACCTGTTGAAATCCATTCTTAATCACAGAGTCTCTTTGGTTCATTTTGAGCCAATGATTCTCCCAACTCAACCTACTCCATAAGACTATTTTAAATTTTTAAATTTTATTTATTAAATTTGTTGACCACCCATCTCACCATAAAAATTCCTTTAAAATCTCAAGTGTTGGATGAGAGAAGGGGGGAGGGAAGGAGGAGAAAGACTGTGGTTGATGCTCTCTGAGCTTGGTGGTTTTTTTGCAGACGTTTTATTACCCAACTAGGTAGCATCATCAGGGCTAGAAGGGATTTGCCGAACGGAGGAGAAAGAGGACTGTGGGGTCCTTGATGCTGTCTGAGCTTGGTGGTTTTCTTGGTGACACTTCATTACCCAACTGGGGGAACATGTTCAGCGTCACCAAGAGAGCTCAAGAGAGCATCAATGACCCCACAGTTGCACCTTGAGCTACAAATATTCTATGTGTAATGACAGTCAACGAGCCCATTTCACAAGGGGGAAGCCGCAGTGGAGACTTGTTAATAGACATTTTATATCCACATGTTTTTTTTTTAAAAAAAGACCCCATACCATGTCCTCCTGAATATCTAATGGGGGGTAGTCATAGAGGGCAAAAGAAGAAACCCTGCAGACCTTCACAAGTGGTTTGCTCCCATCTGTTCCTAAATGGGAAAGTGTGCTTCTTGAGTTGTACAAAAGAAGGTGAAAATAAGTTCACACATCAGGCAATAGCAATAGCACTTAGACTTAAATGCCACTTTACACTTCTGTACGGTTTTACAGAATCAGCAACTTGCTTCCCACAATCTGGGGCCTCAGATTGACAACATTTTTAAAACTAAGCTTTCCCTCTGTTTAATGATTCTTCTTTAAACTTGTATCCCAACTTTATCAAGGAGTTGAAGATGGTTTACATAAACATCTCCCTTTATTTGTGCAAATAATAGTCTTATGGAGTAGGTTGAGTTGGGAGAATCATTGGCTCAAAATGAACCAAAGAGACTCTGTGATTAAGAGTGGATTTCAACAGGTTCTCTCTCGTCTTAATCCAACACATGAACGACACTCCTACATTAACTAGAATCCCTAAATTTATTTAATCAAATTGATATGGCTGGCCATCTCACACAAAGGGATTCTGGGCAGCATACAACTACTAAACCAACCATCATAATTGAATGTAAAAACTAAGGCAATGAAATGATCAACATAATTAAAACCAAGATTGGGAGAGAATTCATTAAGGTTTCATAAATGATTTGGCTGTAATCCACAAATCAAAACAAATATAAAATTTGTCTTAAAGCATTCATCATTTATTTAAAGGTAATAAATCCTGTTTATAGCTAAATAATACACATATTGTTGTGAAGGTTTATCATTGACTTCTAATCACCTATTAACTGATTGTGGTCCAATACTGAAAAATATTTTTGTGTTGCTAGCTGCTGACCTTTTTGCATTAACAAGGGGAAAAGATCTGGCATTTTTTTTTACTGATTTGCCCACTCAGTATAATTGGGGTTGTAATTACTTGTTCTTTCTTTAATATTCTAAACCCATTTAAAAGTAGAATTTGCAGTGATCTTTGTAGAGAACTAGAAATATGTAGCTCATCATGACTGAATGGGTCAAATCCAAGTGTGTTTCTTAAAACACTTGAGATTTTAAAGGAATTTTTATGGTGGTGGTCAACAAATTTAATAAATAAAATTTAAAAAAGGAACTCTCATTGCTGAAGTGTTGTTGTTAGTTGCAAAGTCGTGTCTGACCCACCGTGACCCCATGGACAACGTTCCTCCAGGCCTTCCTGTCCTCTACCATCCCCCAGAGCCCATTTAAGCTCAAGCTGACTGCTTCAGGGACTCCATCCAGCCACCTCATTCTCTGCCATCCCGTTCTTCTTTTGCCCTCAATCATTCCCAACATTAGGCTCTTCTTCAGTGAGTCCTTCCTTCTCATTAGGTGGCCAAAGTATTTGAATTGCTGAAGTAGAATTAGGGAAATTGTGAACTGTCTTGTTGATAATTAGTACTAATGGAACAATATTCTTGATTTTAGGTTTTGTGATCCTGAGATGCCAGATGAAATATGCCCCAAATAAAATTAAATGACATTACTATTGACTTTCCATTTCCACCCTACAAATGTCAGGAGACATATATGTCCAAAGTGCTTGAGTGCCTACAAAACGTAAGCATTTGATGAAATACTAAGTAAAGCATAATTCACCCTACATGTGTGTCAAATGAAAGAAACTTTGAAACATGCAACATACATCATTACATGGGCTGCCTTTGAAGCTTCAAGTGATCAAAATGTCTCTGCTTTAGCAATGTTGTGTCTGTACCGGGGGTATAAAACTCAATTTCACCGAGGGCCCCCTCAGGATCGTGTTTGACCTCAGGGAGCCAGGGTGGGTGTGACTAGCTCAATGTCACTTGTGTCGGGGTTGCCTGTGGTGGTCTGAGTGCTCTGGCAGCCAAAATGGGGTCCTGAGCTCCATTTTGGGCTGTAATGGCCTCCTGCCACCCTCTGCCAGTGGCCCTCCCAAGCTCCGTTTTTGCTGACAGAGGCATCGCAGTCTGGTCCTCCACTATTTTCAGGGCAACCCTGCAAGCCAGGTCTAAGCACTCCGGGGCCTTGAATTTGACACCCCTGATCTATGATAGCTGCAAGGTCCAATTCAAAATGCTGCCTATTGCCACCTGGAGCCTTACAGCCACCAGGTACCAGAACAGGACACCAGCAGCATCACTTGGAATACCAGGAGCAGAGAGGCACAGAGGAGTATCAGTAAAGGAGGATGTTGGAAATGAGGGCTCCTTGGTGCTCTCTGGACTTGCCTGTTTTCTTGGAGACGTTTTATTATCCAAACTAGGTAACGTCATCAGTGCTATGGCAGTAAGGAGTGGGATTTGCTTTCAATTTATATTTTAGTGTCTTGCCCTGTCAGTGTTGGTGGGGTTGATCTTGGAGGTTCTTTAATTGGGCTGTTTGCTGGTGGTGTCTGGCAGTTCCTTGATTGGGGTATTGTTTACTTCTTGATCTGAAGTTAATCTTGGGGTTAATCTATGCTCATCTGGGTGTTGATCGCTGGCGGAAAGTCTGTCTTTTTGTTCCCTTTTTGCTAGTTGATGGTCTCTTTTGCGTAGTCTATAGGTATCATTTATGACTATGTGTTTATTGATGGCTAATTTGTCAGAGTTCCAGGCTTCTAGAAATTCCCTAGAGATTTTGGACCGTGGATGGGGGGGGTTGGGGCACCCTAGGAGGATGATTGAGGTGCTAGGTTTTTAGTCTTTGTTTTTATGGTTTGTAGTTTTGTTATGGTGAGCTGCCCAGAGTCAGATGTTATGGGTAGCAGTACATATCTAATAAATGGATCTTGCTATCAGAGGATAAGGATGACTTTGCATCATTCATCATGGATGCAAAACTGCAAGGGAACGATGCAGGTTAGTGCTAAATATGAACAAGGACAAGGTTATTTCAGTCAGGGTGCTTAGAATTGACTTCGTAATATTTCATAACAGGTCTTACATAGCTGGTTGCAAAAAATACTATTCTGTGATTTAATTGATTAATACAGAATTAATCTTCTTAAAAATAAGCTTAGTTTTGAGCAATGATATATAGAATTGCTTTGAAAGTATTGCAGCTATAATAAATATGATCTTCTAAACCCAGGAATAGAGTTGGCTTAGTTAACTGTATCGACATACACGTTTTTGGATTCTGCATGTATTTTTACCCTAAGTAGAATAGGTGCATTTGGAACATATGAAACCTGCTTAGCATATTTCCTGGAAAAAAGCTTTGTGTTCAGCCCCTTCTCTTATCAGTGCCAGCCATGTTTACATGAGACCTGGAAATAGAGGAGTGGGTAGGTGGGTTCTCTTTTTTTGATGAAGGGAAAAAAAACCCACTTAAGAAGCCCTTATGTCTATGCAATCTGTTCCTAAACTTTTAGTAAGTCAGAAAATATATTCTGTGCCTGCTTTAATACCGCAAGGTAATTTTATGGGAAGACTTTGCTCATAGACTGTTTTGTAAATGTTATTGCCCTACACAGGAGATCTAGCACCTTTTTGAAGTCAAGGGGTCTGTCTTTCTATCCGTCTGTCTTTCTGTCCATCTGTGCCTGCCTGCCTATCTATCTATCTATCCATCCATCCACCCATCCATCCATCCATCCATCCATCCATCCCTCCATCCATCCATCCACCTATCTCTGTTTCTGTCTGTCCGTCCATCCATCCATCCATCCATCCATCCATCCATCCATCCATCCATC